TCTTTTTGGATATCGTTGAAATAGTGCAGTCCTGGTTAACCCAGCATAAGTATCTTTTTCCTCTCTCTGTATAGGTGATACAAGGGGATCTTCAAAAAGTTCGTGGGGAAAGCGTATCATAAAAAAATGTGTTTTAAAGTATTTTACAATAAAATGGATCTGTTTTGTAATTCCATTTCCACAGACTTTCTTATTAGCGCCTGAACATTTTAGTAAGGCTGTATCAGGAAGAGCAGACACCCTGGTGAGCCTGCGGCAGGAAGGCAACCTTCCTTGTCCGTGACGGTCACTGTCAGAGCAGGGGCAAATGTGGGATCAAAGGACTGAACGAAGACAGACAAGCAAGTGTCAAGGCAGGAGGCCGAGGTCAGACGTAACTGGGGAGAGACTGACCAGTGCCCATCTGCCTGCCCCTGCTCAGAGCTTGCTTCCAGAAAAGCCTCAAGAACAGGCACTTGTGCTCAAGGTGAGACTCAGGCAGCTGAGTTGGTGCAGGCTGAGGCAGGTGCCAGGTCTGAGTTCTTGTCTGTAGGTGGCAGGATCCACCTCTCCATTGGTGTCTTAACAAAATATGCTGTTGGTGTGACTGACGGCACCGAAGGAAGCCTTTTGGCTCAGAGACTGACAACAGTGAGTAAGGCAGCCGGGGAGACGGAGAAGCTGCAGGGTGACGACTGTCTCAGCAGTGGCCGGCCCACAGGTGCTGCTGCCTCCGAAAACCTCTGTCTGCTCCTGAGACATCCAACTGGCTGCGCCTCAGCCTGTGCCCATGCCAGCAGCAGAGACTGGCTACCTTGCGGTCCGCAGTGGGAAAGGCGTTGTGCCAATTCCATGCACAGCTCCTGGGAGGGCTGGGTGCTGGGAAAGCTCCAGTCAGGCGTGTCGCAGGAGCTGAGCTCAGGCAAAGAGGGCTTGGAAGGCTGCCAGAGGGTCTGGCTAAGGGTCAGCACAGGCACATGGCATCCAGGGCAGACGGTGTTTTCTTTTTCGCTAATATCCTGACATACTTGAGGACTAGGAGAGGGGGCCCATCCCATTTCTTCTTGAGGAGAACCTATAGGTGGGCTCAGTGACTGGCTGGAGGGATGGCCCAGCTCACTGGAGCCACACGAGATGCAAGCACATTGGTTTTTGAGTGTCGGTGAGCTGGCTCCCACTTGTTGAACATGCTGATGTCTGGGGAGTTTGTTCTTACTTTTGGATGCATGATGGTCTTCCTTTCATAGTGACCTTTGAAATCCTCCTGAAGCCTTAACTCTGGGCCCGGTCTTTCAATTATATGTCTCTGTGGGTTTGGAGACAGCAACTTGAATCAGGTGACCTTGGAAGGTAAAGCTGCAGCCTTGTGTATGAAATAACTGGGAACTCCGGTGTGAAGTTCAGGATTGAATGGAGGCAAAGTCTAGAAGTGATGACCTGAGATGGAGCTGTCTTCACCCATTTTTTTCCCCTTAAACTCTAATTCGCAGCCTGTCAGGTCACCCACTAAGTGCATGTGGTTCAGTGGGTTTTAGTGTATTCACAGTGTGCCAACACCACATTCAGGCGGTGAACATCTTCCTCACTCCCAGAAGGAATCCTGCACCCACTGGAAGTCCCTTCTGAGCACATCCTCCAGCATGCCTGCTCTCCACCCCCTCCTCAAGGCACTCAACCTGCTTTTCCTCTCTATGGCTTTGCCCATGTATGGACTCACGTAGAATGCAAGCTTTTATCTCACTTCTTTGACTTAGGGTCACCCAGGTGGGAGCAAGCCTCCCTTCAGACTCAGTGAGGAGATCCCTAGGACAGCTGTTGTGTGGACAGCCGTGAGGCAGTGCAGGGGCAGGCGTGGCACTCTGCAGGCCCTCCAGCGCTGCCCGCGTTTTTCCACCGCCTGTAATCTTCTTGAGTGCAGCTGTCCTCGTGGGAGTGAGGGTGTATCTGGGTGTGGCTGTGATGTGCGTTTCTCTCATGGCTGATAATGTTGAGCTTTTTTTCTGTGCACTTATTGGCCACTTGTATATGTTTTTTTGTTGAAATGTCTGTCAGATCTCCTGCCCATTTTTAAGTTGGAGTGTCTTTTTATAGTTGAGCTTATACATTCTCAGATGCCTGAGCTTGGGGCCTCATTCTGATGCAGTTGAGGAACTTGGGGCTGGGACGAGGGTTTAGCCTAGGTTGATTTTCAGGGTCTTTCAGAACGCTGTATTGTGTTTAGAGTTTGACTCCGATAATTGTTCCTGCTCTTGACCTGAGCTGTCCCTTGGTGTGAGAAATTAAGTAGATTTCTTGATTTTTTTCGTTTGGTCAGTTGTGTCAGTGGCCCAGGCAACCAAGCTTGGGCCCTCCTTTGCCTTATCAGAGGAACTGCTGCAGTGGGTCCACGCCCTCGCTGGTGGGCCCTGCTGCTCCTCTGGTCCACAGCCAGTCAGTCCTGACTCAGTTGTGAGCTTTTCTCTCCTCTGGGTCACCCCAAAGCCCACGAGAAGGAAATCTTCAGGAGATCTTCGCAGGTAATCTTTACATCTTTTCACAGTTTTGCAGTTGTATAAAGCGTTCTTATCTCTCCCTCTCAAGGGAGGCTTTATAGTGAAATCACCTTCCTTGGAGAGGGCTGCCTTCCCGCCAGGGCACAGATCTGCAGGTGTGGGTGGGGCTGGCCGGAGGAGATTCTGCCTGAGCAGTGGATAGGAGGCTGGATGAGGTAGAGTTTCCTTACCAGAATTCAATCCCTGGTTTTGGTTTGGGTCTCTCTGAGGGATATGGTCCACACCCAGGAGCTGTCCTCAGTGCTCCGCTCTTTTCCTGCCAAGCTAGCTTGTCCTCTGGACCTCCAGCTTACATTTGCCACACTGATTCTTTGACTTCTGTCCCTTTTCCCACCGCAGTCTCAATTCTCTCTGTTTCCCTTTAGTTCTCTTTCCAGTTTGGAGCCATGTCATTAGCAGCATCTTAAACCTGTTGGTCTCAGCTCCTGATTGCTCTCCTGGCTTTCCATATCTGGAAATGTGTTCCGCACCACTGCCGACCGAGCTGCCAGGTGTGGGCCTGGATGGGGCGGAGGCGGGAGTTGCAGAATGAAATTCAGCTCTCCTTCTGTCATAGGGATGTGGTGGCCAGGTTTCACTCCAAGCCCTTGCCGTGTGTGAGATGGATTCAGCACAAAGCCATCAGTAAGGTGCATCAATGAGAGGAGAATTTATTACAGGAAGAGTAGGAATACATTCAGGCAGGAAGACAAGCAGGCAGTCCCATGAGAAGAGATAGGAACTTTGAGAGGGCCTCAGAGTTGCCCATGAGGAGAGAAAGTGGGTCAGAATGAGTGCCATGCCCACATTCAGCAGTCCTGTATATGGCACCCTCGTTGAATACACAGAGCAGTGGAGCTGGGCGTAGTAGTGGTGTAGTGTACATAAGCTTCTCCGGGAGTTCATCTTCCCGGGCTCTTCATGGTGTACCTCCTTGCCTGGAGACACAGGTGCCTTCTGGGAGAGTAGGTGGACTTGATTGGCGTGTAAGGAGATAGGGTTTAAGTGTAGCACTGTGAGACAGATTGTGGGAAAATATTGATGTTCATTCTCCCTAAGTCCCTGTCGATTTTCTAAATCATTTCTGCTGGGCTGAAGAGTTGTATCTGCCCAGAGGTATCTCCCTTTAACTGGCGTGAGGATGCCACCTGAGTTAACACAGGACTTGGTTGCCAAAGCAACTTGATGGAAATATCTAAACATGGCACTCATCCTAAGTGTGCCTTGCTAGTGAAAGTCAAGAGTCAGTGTGACCTGCAAATCTTCTGTGACCCAGTCCTGCCTTCCTCGGTGGCCTTGTGATGATGGTGACCTTGTGATTTATTGTCCAAACTGAGACATTTTGAACAGAGGAGCTATTAGTAATTATGCCAGGACAATAAACCTGGACTGTCTGTGCAATTCCCTTGCAGCTCAGCATTCCACACCTTGGATTCTTTCACTGTGGCAGCACCAACATGCTGTAGTTTTCCATGTTATGTCTCGGTGTTTCTAAATCAGGAAGGTGTTTATGGAGTTACTGTGGCTGCCCTGTTGGGAATCTGAACTCCTTTTGCTGATTAGACTTTGAAAGGTAGAACAGACCATCCGCAGGGTCAGAATGCCAAGATCAGAAAGCTCACAGGCTGAACACTGAGATGAACCCTACGATTCTAGTTATTCTGTACTTCTGGAAACTGGTCTGTACAATAAGTGCTTTCTTGAAAAGTTCATTCCATCTTTTCCTATTTTTCTGCTTTCCCCAGTGTATGTCCACTTACTGTTCAAGACGTCTCAAGGGCCATCTGTTGCCGTTATCTTTCCATGATGCTTCCTGGCTGGGCTCAGTGCCCGTCACTTTGTTCCCACACAACTGTGCATATGCTGTTTTTATTGGACTTTTTGAAAAGCGTCAAAGTCGTCTGTTCAAGCCTGCTGTGCCATGAACCTGTTTCACCCTTAAGGATGTAACTCTGTCTTGTTCATTTCTGTGTCCTCAATGCCTTGCATGGTGCTTCACAGCTTATAAAATCTCCAAAAGCATTTATCAACCTGGAATAATTTAAACTCCTTGCTGCAATATGAAATTAGGCGTGTCTGTCCTTTATCTCCTAGCACAAGTCTTGGTCTTGGTGAAGATTTACCTGAAGCTGGGGTTGTCAGGAGGCTTTTTGGCTGGTTGAGTTCCTTGAGTCTATTGTTAATCTTTAGGTCTTGAATCATGTAAGAGGAAAATACACCCATTATATTCATACATGTCTCCCCAAAGTGTGAACAGTGGTGTTTGCAACTTCCATTTACCGTGCCATAGACAAAGTTGCTCTGAGAATATTTGAAGAATAATTATTATTTCATGCAATGAAAGATCAATGAAACACTGAAAAACAGAACTCCACTTTTGACTTATTTTCAAAATCTTCTGACTTGGATATTTTAGGTGAAGATGCTCAGTATTGTCTGAATTTCAAGTTTTTGTGTCATAGATATAACATTATTTTTCCTTTTCTCTAGAATGTTACAGACATTCAAAGAATGGTTCTGGTTGGAAAGATTCTGGCTTCCTCCCAAGATGAAGTGGTCAGATCTGGACGATCACAATGGACTTGTGTTTGCCAAGCCTTCTCACTTGTACATGGCGATTCCCTGTGCTCTTCTCTTGCTGATTATTAGACATTTCTTTGAAAAGTAAGTAATGGTTGGGTGTTTTCCCTCCCCAGTAAGTCCCCAGGCTTAAACTCGTGGAAATCCTTAGAGAGTCTGTTGTTCAAAGGTTGCCACTGAGGCACTGATGGGCTTCAGATTATTGGGATTTCACATAATCAAGTGCACCTGATGTAATCTAGAGGCCAAATTGGGCAAAATGAAAACCATAGATTCCTCTGAGTCCAAAGGTTTAGGGTGGAGAGGACTGAGAGAAGGAGAACTTGTTACTGTTGGCAACAACATGGGTACCAGGTACCCAGGTTGTCTTCTCTGTTCCCCAAAAGGCAGCAGTAGAAGAATACAGGACTTGAAGATACAGTATTGTTCTAGAATGCCTATAAAGTAACAAAAATGGTTCATGAAAGACTATGCCAAATATTACTGTATAACCTAGCTTACTTTAAAGATTTATTTGAAGTTTTATTGCTGACTCAATTCCTAAGTATAAGGAAATAAAAGAAAATACCAGATTGCTTTCCTAGAATAAGTAAATGTCTTTTTTTTCTTGATTAAATTTAAACTTAATTAGATATTGCTTCCAACCTTTTTTTTTTAAAGCTCAGATTGGTGTTACAATAGGAGATGAAGGTGGTTGTCTGTGTGGCAGATTGTTGTTGCTAGCACATTAATTCATTTAGAGCAGAAAGAATATTCAAATGTCAAGAGCTGGATAAACTTAAGACAAAATCTGATAAAGATCGTTTTGTCTGAAAAGAACCATAATACAGATCATATGTTTGTAACCATTTTCAGGGTTCTTATCTCAGGATTAATTTGACCAGCCCTGTTTCACGGACTCTCCAAAAGGGTTTCCTACAAATAGCTTTCCTGGGGCCAACAGTGTGCTGTTGCTTTTGGGCAGGAGAGGGAGCCCCTAGATATCACTCAATCATTGTTGAGGGCTTTTGAAAATGTTACTTCCTTCTTAAAGGTTAATTCTACTTTTCCTTGCATAGTTGAATTTGTTAAAGCATGCATAAAGAAACAAAGTAGAGTTTGCTACTGCACTTCAGAGCCGCTGAATTCCTTCTTGCTATCCTGAAATACATGCTGTTCTTGCATTGCTTCTGGCTATCTTTTGAGTTTGGCTTCTAGAGTCCTTACTTCTGTTACAGATTTTCTACTTTTTTGGTGTGCAGTGCTATTTTTCACAGTTTGTCTAGAACACTGAACCAGAAAGTTCTTTTTGGTTGCCAAAGAAACAAACTTGTTATGTGTTGGGCAAGAACAATCAGGAAAAAACTCCATGATCTTATAATACTAGAAGTATTGTCATTTCTTACCAATGGGTTAAGTAGAGTCTGTTTTTCCTCTTGCTTTACAATACTAAATCAACTAACGTACATTTAGCCATTTCCATTCTGTGATGAACCTCTTAGTACAACAGATGGAAGGACAACTTAGCATGGGAGAGAACTCCTACTTTGTGAAGCATGTATATGTTTTCATGGCTTCTATATTTTTTGTAGCAAATTAAAACATTTGTCATTAAAGAAATCACTAATACCTTACATTGGATAGAAAGTAATGGTGTAATAGGTCACAGGTGGCGTGACCTCCATCTGTGAGACACCAGGTCAAGATCACACAATTGGCACATAAGGTACAAACCTGGGGTTCCAGCCCATGTGTTAGGACCGGGTATTTTCCCTGCTATGTCAGTGCTGCTTGAATTTGCAGTGAAGTACTGTTAATGGCCCGGGAGAGTAAATGTCCCTGAGAGTACAAAAGTAGCAGTTTAATGAGATCATCACTAATGTGAAATTTCCTAAGCTCTTTTAAACAGTTATGTGGAATGTCTCCTATGATATAGCTAGCATAAGGGAGCTTTCTTCTTCCATCCCAGACTGTGTCTGTGCTACACCTTCGCACTCTGTGAAAGGATCACGAGCCATCACGTAGATGGCTTATTTCTGTCTGTTGGTACCAACCAAGAGCCAAGCAAGGAGGAAGTAATGTTCCTTCCCGAAAAAGCAAGAATGGACAGGCAGGCCAGCATGAAATGAAGAAACAGATTAAAAGTGACTGATTCTTGCTTTGCATTTGAGACTTGCTTTTCTTTGCAGACATTAGTGGTGGCTGATGGTGTGACATGGAGGTGGGGACAGCTGACTGGTTTCCCTTCTGGACATTCTTTATGTGTCTTAACTATAATTTGAAAGAAATTGAAGCTGCCTAACTTTTCACTCTTGTAGAGTAAATAGATTCTGTCAAAGTAAATAATGCTACCCAAAGAACCAGAAGCCTGGGAGAAGTAGCACAATCAGGGTGGCCTTTCTATACTGAACTCTGCCATGACCAGCCCTCTCACACGCAGGTTTCTGCTTGACAACATGAGGTCCCCGTGGGACAGTCCATTTGTCATGGCTGGAGGAGACAGAGCAACCTCTATACTCCAGTTTTCGGGAGTTGAGAAAAGGCTACTGCTGACTGTCACAAAATATGCACACTAGACCAGGATTTTGCCTGGAATTGGTGTTACTCTTGATATTTTTATCCTCTTTTATGAAATTCTTTGAGAAACTCTGCTGGCACAGAAACTCTGGAGGCCTGGGGTTTGGGACTCAGCCTTCCATCGGTAGGCTGTGGCTTCTACAAGAGGTTTTCTGAAAGTCTGTAGAACATTCACGAAGAAAGAAGAGACTGTGCGTGGATTTCATAAAACTTGCACCAAAATATGAACTCATAATTCTGTTTGTCAATGAAATTTTATGTATATCCTCCTGTTTATGAGAAGTGTTTAAACCTAACACACATAATATCTTCTTAGTACCGCATTCCTTTAACTCTATAACAGAATATTGACAATTCAGGAGAAGAAGGTCTGGGATTGCTAATCTTTTGACTGCCAGGTAGACAGGTAGACAATGGGTTCTAAACAGAGGAGAGTATCAAGGTGGCAGAATGGAGTCATCTGGAGTTTCAGTTCTTCCACCGTAGCAGGGGAAATATGCATATAAAAGATATTCATTAGTCATTAGGAAAATTCAAACAAAAATCACAGTGCAATAGAAGTTAGAAAAACTGTCAGGGTAGTTCTCTTCTCTGTAAAAACAGTCAAAAATGATCAGAATTAAAACTGTCAGAATTCAGAATTAGCCAATGGCTTACAGTCAACAAGGAGTTGTTACTCAAGAAAAATGACTGGACCTTGGCAAGAGGAGTGAGCCTGGTGGCATTTTAACTTGCCCTATTCCATCCCGCCTGCTCCACCTCTGGGATGGACTTGAAATGCTAGCCGCCCGCAGTGACTGCTGCCTGTGAACTTGCTAGTGCTTCAAAGCCTCAGCACTAAATGGTTATCATTATCTGACTTGTCAGGTGGCTCCTTGGGAGACTCCACAACAAAGCTGTCTTTATTTGACCAGACACATTGCTTGTCCAGTAATCAAAGCCTTTTCCCTGGAGATGTTTGTTCAACAACAGCCGTAAGACTTCAATTTCCCACCTTCAGTAATGGATAGAACAGCTAGGCAGAAGATCAAAAAGGAAGTAGAACTCGAAGAGCACTTGTGAACCAACTAGTCAGACATCTACACAGCATCTGACCCGCATCAGAGTATGCCTCTTCTGTGCCCCACGAGCGTTCTTGAGGCTGGAGTGTATGTTAGGTCATAGAACTAATCTTAGAATTGGAATACAAAGTATGTTTTCCAACCACAGTAAAATGAAATTTGAAATGAGTAACAGAAAAAAAATTAAGAGTATGGACAGATTTTTGGAAATTAAATTACATGCTTAAAAGCTTATTTCAAGGGCAGATATATTTCATCTGCTGGTTTACTTCCCAAATGCCCACAGTGGCTGGGGCTGGAGCTGGGCCAAAGCTGAAGCCAGGAACTGTGGTCAGTCCAGATCTCCCCTGTGGGTGGAAGGAAGCCAATTACATGAATTATCCCCAGGACTGCATTAGTAGGTAGTGGGAGACAGGCGCTAAAGGCAGGAATTGAATTTAGTCACTGTAGAATGGGATGTAGGCATCTTAACTGCTAGGCCAAATATCACTTCCCCACCTCCACCCCCAAATAAATCACAAACAGTAAGGCATTTGTAAATCACAAGGGAAACATTGAAAAGGAACATGACATACTGAAAATACAGAATGCAGCAATAGCTGTGCTTAGAGGGAGATTTACAATTGCAAATAACTAAATGTAAGAAGGAGGAAGAGCTCAAATCAATAATCTTGCTTTCTATCGTAAGAAACTGTAGAAAAATAAAATGAAACTTAAAACAAGCCAGAGTTAGGAAACAATAGAAAGAATGGAAAATCAGCCCACACGAATGCCTACCCTATGGAACTGCTAGGAATGCAAACAGCACAGCCACTTGGAAAAGAAGCTTGCCAGAACAAGGTTAAATGAACACTCACCTTTCTACCCCTCTCTCCAATTGCTAAATGTTTACTGAAGTCATGGGATATTTTTTCATGTGCTAAAATGTGAAATTATGTCATAATTTCTTTCAGATTATGTCATCAAAAATTTATTTCAGTAACATTTAATTCAATCCTTAAGAGTCTTAAAGTGAACTTTTGAGTAGACTAGCTCACCCTAACTCCTAGATCTTGTATATAAATGTATGTGGGTTAATACAAAATACATTTTAGAATTTGTACAAGTATTTTATTGCATTTCCAAATCAGTGCTTGCAAATAATGCCTGATTATTTGTTTTCCCCTGAACTTTAGAGGGACAGGATGTTGGCTGTGACACCAAAACAAATGGGAAATCATTTACAGAGGATCCAGAACCGCAGCCTGAGCTGGGTGCAGCTGGTGTGGGTTCAGCCTCAGCTTGAACTGACTTCTTTTCATATTTTTGTAGGTTTGTTGCTACACCTCTAGCAAAAACATTTGGTATTAAAGATACGGTCCGAAAGATTACACCAAATACTGTCTTAGAGAATTTTTTCAAACATTCTGCAAGGCAGCCATCAAAAGTAAGTACCAACAAAAGTTTCACCTCTTCAAAATACTTTCTCCTTATTAAATTCTTCAATGACTCATAAATCATACAGTAGTATCACTTTCTTTAAGAAGATTCTTGATTTTCTTTTTCATTTCTTCAGTGGCACATTAGTCATTCAGTAGCATGTTGTTTAACTTCATGGTGTTGTTAATTTCTTTTTTCTTCCTGTTGTTGATTTTGTTTTGTGGCTTTTCATTTAAGGGGATGTATAGTAACTGTGTAATGGAGATTATCATATCTAGCAGCATGTAATTTAACTTCATGACATTGTAAATTTCTGTTTTTCTTCCTGTTGTTGATTTTGTATTGTAGCTTTTCATTTAAGGGGATGTATAGTTACTGTTTAATGGAGACTGTCATATCCAGATGTGAGGATACAATGCAGTATGCATCTCTATTTCCAGACAAAGATGGACTCCCAATGAAACTGTTTACTCTATCTTGACAATAGGATGCTGGACTGTCTGCCATTGTCCTTGCCCGCAATGTTGGACATATGACTGTGTATGAAGAAAGAGCTATACTTTAGTAATGATATAGGGGAACTCAGTGAGGGGGGAGGGAATTGGGGAAGGACAAAGTATATTCCAGGGCCTGTAGAACTGTATTATAAAATGATAATAATAAACAGAAGTACAATTTAAAAAAAGGAAAATGTACAAACACATATAAAGATAAGAAATCGAAGTACAGATCTATATAACATTGGCACCTAAGCACTCTGTTTGCAGCATTCCAGGCTTGTATGTGTGGACTGTTTTTGCTAAATATTTCTGAAATTTACATAATTAATTTCTCAATTAAAAAAATCACTTAAGAAATCAAATCATAATTTACCTCAAAGCAATATATAACATTTTGTTTTGAATAAAAAAGTAAGTACCAGTGTTTTGTTTTGGATTGTAAAATTATTTTTTCCTCTTCCTTCTTTTTTTTTTTTAAAGATTTATTTATTTTAAGGACAGAGTAACAGAGAGAGAGGGGAGAGAGACATAGAATAAGCCAGCCACTGATTTATTTTCCCAAATGGTTTAAATAGTTGGGGCTGGGTTAGACTGAAGTCAGGAGCTTGGGATTTCATCTGGGTTTCTAACATGGGTTCAAGGCTCCAAGTATGAAGGCCGCCTTCAGCTGCTTTGCCAGACATGTTGGTTGGGAGCTGGCCTGGAAGTAAAGTAGTCAGGCCTCATGGGTAGCCTGTTGTACCGCAATGCCAATCGCAAAGCCTTCCTAAACTGGTTCAATCATCTGTGGCTTACCCCACCTGTGCAAAAAATAAACAAATACATAAATCATCCCCCCTTTGTCTATGAAGAATTTGATTCATTTGCACTTATTTCTTTGTGCTGTTGACAGGCTATATGCAGCATCCTAAATGTGATGCAAAGTTACAAATACAAATAATGGGCCTGGTGTAATAGCTCAGGGGCTAAATCCCCACCTTGCAAGCACTGGGATCCCATGTGGGTGTTGGTTCATTTCCCACTTGCTCCATGTGGGTGTTGCTCCATGTCCCATCCAGCTCCCTGCCTGTGGCCTGGGAAAATAGTGGAGGATGATCCAAAGCTGTGGGACTTTGCATCTGTGTGGGAGACCTGGAAGAAGCTTCTGCCTCTTGGGTTTGGGTTGGCTCGTTTCCAGGTTGTAGCCATTTGGGGAGTGAACCAGTGCATGGATGATCTTTCTCTTCATAAATTTGATCTGTTTTTCCAATAAAAATAAATAAATCTTAAAAAAGAATATAATACATTTAATTGCTGATTGCTTTCTGTAATATTGAGCCCTAACGATCAATGCCATGATCTGGGCATAAAGAGCAAAATTTAATGTTTAATGATAGGTGTAATTTTTAATGATCATATATACAGAGTATACTGGTGAAAAAGGTAATCTCTAGGACATAGAAACCCAAGTATGACATGTTGATGATGCCAGAATGCATTGTAGACAGTAAGGAAATATCCACAGGGGTCACTGTCATGAGCAGTTCTCTGTATCTGCGGTGCCTCTGCCTGTTGTGCAGAGAGGTTTTAAAACCCACAGTTCTCTTCCCAGGACAAAAAGTCCTTCAGGGAGGTGGTGGTGCATCACCCATGCACGTATCAGAGATTTAAATTTCATAGTTGTGAGGTCTAGCGGCCCACCAGGTCTGGTGTTCACTCTCTGCCCAGCGCATGTCTGTAAAGAACAGCTGAAACACAATGCCCCGACCAGTGGCATGCCCTCGATGATGACTAGGGACAGCTACAGCCAGTCACTCAGAAAGCAAGAGTGTTGACATTTTGAGGGTCTGGGCTTGATTTGCTGAATTTGGCTGCTTCTGCTGTCCATGCCCTGGAAGGCCCTTTGCACATGAAGACGTGCAGAGGTTCCATCCCATGGCCTGAGGTTCTGTGCTCTGAGTGGCTCTTGGCTAGCCAGAGCTGTCTCTGTCTTCAGTTGCTCACAGCTTGTGTGCCTGACTGCTTTCCTAGAACAGGGCAGTGTGAGGAGCCATCATGGCTAATGCCATTCATCTGAATCCTTTTGCTGCCAGAGGTGACAGTGATGCCTAGCCTCATTTTGTATGTTTTAAAAAGGAAACTTGGCTGTGTTCCTCAAAAGTCAGGGCTGACTCAGGGAATCTTATCATCTTCCGCTTGTTCAATCCTAAAGTACAATATGAAGAACAGTGCTGTCCCAGGCAATGACTTGCTGCACTTACTGTGGACAAGAGTTTCAAGTCAGCTTTACGGAGCATCTGAAATAATCTGGAAAATTTGGTCTCTGCCCAGTTTTCTTGCTCTGGGAAGAGAATGGGCATGTGACAGTTTAAGGAAAATCAAGAAGTACTGAAACTGACCTAGAGGGGAAGTCGCCTTTCACTTCATGACTGAGATGAGGAAGACGAAGGCTCAACCTGGGCTGTCCTGCTGCTCCCTAGTAGTGGAATCAAAAGCCAGAGCCTGGACCAACCTTCCGCCTTGTGCGCTTCCTCTTGTACCCTAGAGCACCCAGGGGTTTAGGGTTGTAGTTCAGGGGTGGGCACTTGGCCTCGTGCTGAAATGCTGTTGGGTTGCCTGGCCCCCTCTGTCTGAGTGCCAGGGTTCAGGTTCCTGCTCCGACTCCTGACTCCACGTCCTTCTGAACTGAGGCAGAGTTGTTCTAGAAAAGGAGATCAGGACAATGTGGCACTTGAGGACCCACCAGATGCCTGTTTCTATGGTCAGTAAGGACATCCATTTGCTTGCTGGAATCATCCCTATATTCTGACGTTTGTGGAGCAGTAGTCTCCCTAGTGTAGTTGGTAGGCATTGGAGGCAGGAGGGGGGCTGCTCCAGTTGCAGAGCTGCCTTCTCGGCGAGGAGGCCAGGGCTTTATGTGGCAGTCACTGTGGTTCTGTAGGTGCTGCCTGCGGTGTCCCTGTGGCCTGCAGCCTACTCCTGAGTGCTCAGTAGAGCTGTAACACAGATAGCCACCCTAACCCCCATAGGAACATGCTTAGACATGGCTTCCCGACCCTGTGTCTCTTAATCATGCTTATTTCCGTTCCCATGATACATTGTGTGTTTTTCTGTACATTGTATGTGTTCAGTAAATACTTACCTTACAAATTAATTTTAAAAGAGACACATGTGTGCAAGAGTTCCCTCCCAGTGGCCATGGTGGTGGCCGAGGCCAGGGTGGTGCAGAGTCCCTGGACTGCACTGGAGAAGCAAGGTTGCTGATCACAGCAAGCTGGTTGCCCTTTGTGTCTTCTGCTTCAGCAGATTCTGGTGAAAGTGCTGGCATAATAACAAAACTGGGTTGTCCTAAAGTCTGGGGAAATTCCAGAATGAGGACACAGATTTTTGTCTGTTTTTCTCACTGCTGAATCTCCAATACCCGGAGCAGTAGTTGGCACTAGTGAACGGACTCTCACTCATAGTTTTGAACAAATCAGCATGTGTAACAGTGGAGCTGGGCCCAGAGAACAGAAAATATAGTTCATCACAGCCTCCGAGCATGCTCTGCTGTGGACAGGGCAAACACGCTAGAATTATAATCTGTGCCCGCGTGACTCTGGTTTATGTTTTCAAATTATGTTAGAGGTAAATAAATCTTTTTTCAAGCAGAGACAGAGAAAGCCCAAATGAGTTCCTTTGTGTTGCTTTACTCTCTGATGCCTGCAGTGGCCTGGAGAGGGCTGTGCAGACGCCAGGAGCTGATAGTCCAGTCTTCCCTGTGGGATGGTATGGTCTCCTTGGCCATCTTTATTTCTTGCTCAGCCCTAACTGACCTTCAAGTTTGTGACCTCTGGGCTGACCTCCTTACAGTCTCTGATTTTAAATCCCAGACCCTCCCCCTACTCCACTCTGCAAAACTTCACTTTCTGTTGCATCCATCTGGGTTGTTGGAATTATTCCTGGTTAGTTTGAAGCAGGCTGCACATCTGACTAATGTGAACATGGATGGCCAAGACATTTTTCAGTTTTCCTGCATTTAACACAGCCTAGATTCTTGTCTACAACTTGCTGCCAATTTTAGAATTTGGATAAGTCACTAAAACTCTTGGAGCTTCAGTTCCCCTATGGGAAAAAAGGTTGATTTAATTGTATTTGAAACATGAAGAGAAGAAGGAAGGAGGAGGGAAGAGTGAGAAAGAAGGGAAGGTGGGAAAGAAGAATGGAGGGTGGGAAGAGAGAGAGGAGAGAGAGAAAGAGAGAGATCATTTGCCTACTGATTGAACTCCTCAAATGTCTAGAACTGCAATGGCTGGGCCAGGCCTAGAACCCAATCTGGGTCTCCACCTGGTTACAGAGACTGTTTAACTTCATGAGCAGGACAGATGAAGTCCTTGGTCAAGGTCTCTTTTTCTCTTAAGATTTATTTCTTTATTTGAAAGGCAGAATGACAGAAAGAGAGAGAGGGCCCTTCCATTTGTTGGTTAACTCCACAAGTGACTTCAATAACTGGGAATCAGGAGCATGGAACCCAGCCAGTCTTCTATGTGGGTATACAGACCCAGGGACTTGCAATGTCTTCTGCTGCATTCCAAGACACATTAGCAGGGAGCTGGTTAGGAAGTGGGTCAGCCAAGACATGAACTGAAGCTCTGATAAGGAATTCTAATATCACAGACAGCATTTTAACCCACTGTGTCACAGTGAAAATCCCTGGCTCATAATTTGGTGCCAGGATCCTTCTTCCTTGGATGCAAGTTCATGGAGCCTGATCTCACTGTCTCTTGCCTGCCAGTCTGCCTTTGCAGTTCACTTGTGTTATTTCATTTCAGACTGACCTCTGTGGACTGGCAAAGAAATGTAACTTGACAGAACGCCAGGTTGAAAGATGGTTTAGGAGGCGGCAGAATCAAGACAAGCCTTCCAGGATGAAGAAGTTCCGGGAAGCTTGGTAAGAAGGATGGCATGGGTGGAATAATGCCGTGGTTTTGTCCGAGAACACTAGCAAGGGTGCAGATGGGTTTGGTCAGAGCCTGGTCACTCACCACCTGCTGTGAACTGTGCAAGCACAAGCTCTCTTGAGGTGGCCAGGAGGGCTCCTGTACTTCACCCGCAGCTCAGGATGCCATCACTGGATTTTTCTTTTTTAGGGTCCAGGTTGGCTTTAAGCCACAACTACTCACCTAGTTGCAATCTTTGTGTTGCTCAGAGCTCCACTTGTGAGCACCTCTTTCTATCCAGCATGGCTGTGACTCCCAGCTTGAGGATTCCACCTTCATCTCCCATTCACTTCAGGGAGGGACAGGGTGGGCTGAGCTGGAGTCACTGTCGACCTACTGGCCCCCTTGAATCCTTTCTGCAGGCGGCTTCACTCTGGTTTTTAATGCTTCAAAAATCCGATAATATTGTGTTGCCTCCAGTGTTTGCTTGGTACAAGTAAAAAGGCACTTCGGAAAATTCGTGGAAAATTAAAGCCAAAGATGTTTATTTTGGTGCCAACAAAGCGTTGAAACCTATGCATAGTTTTTTTCATAATATACATTTTCCATGAACTTTATAAAAAACATCTGTCCACTTGGCAGAGAGAGTGAGATAGAGAGGGAGTGCTCCTCTGCTTTCCAGGTGGTCACAACAGCTGGGGCTGAGTTGGGTCAAAGCTAAGAGCTGAAAACCAGTCCAGGAAGCCTGTTACTTCAGCCACTGCCTACTGCTGCCTGAGGTTCATGCCAGCAGGCTGCAGGAGGCAGGAGTCAGAACAGGAGCTGGGAATCAGAGGCAGCTGTTCCACTGTGGGTTGGCCACAGGCACCTGAACTGGTAACCTTACGTTCATGGAACTTTGCAAAGTACTCTTGGAATCCTTGTAAGCATCTCCACTGAACAACAGGAAGTGGTGCTAGTCTCACATTCTGCTCTCCTTTTCCCTGCTGTCAATCGCTTGTTCTTGCTAAGAAATGATTCCGATCTTTAAGTCCCAAGCTGGGACTAATTCTCTACCTTTGAGCTAAATGATACTTCAACTCAATTTTCTGACAATTTCTTTGACATTATGGTTCCCCAGAAGGGCTTGCTTGGTCCTCCCAGCAGTAGGATGAGACAGCAGATGTGGGGCTGACCCTGTTGAGGGAAGGAGGCCTCAGGCCTCCTTCAAGGTTATGGAACTGGCACAGAGCTGCTGTCATGTCACACAGGTTAAGCCTCCATCTGCAGTACTGGCATCTCACATGAGCCCTGATTCTATTCAGGGCTGCTCTGCTTCCAAGCCAGCTCCCTGCTAATGCACCTGGGAATGGTCACAGGAGAGGTCCTGGCCTCTGGCTGCTCCAGTCCTGACTGCCACTGTTTGGGAAGTCACAGTGGATGGGAGCCCTACCATTCTCTCTCTGTCTATTCCCCTCTGTCAGTCTGCCTTTCAAATAAAATAAATCTTTAAAAAAACCAAAACAACCTCCCCTCCCCCCCAAAAAAACGCAGGAGGGAACTGGCTGGCTGTAGGCCTCCCCCTCCCCCCCGCTGTTGGGAGAGTTGCTGGAGTCAGTCTCCCACTCCTGTCCTGCTGTGCTGTACTGCCACCTGATGCTCCCCCATCTGCGTGTGCACAATCTCCTGGAACTTAGCTGTGCTGGTAAGTGCAGAGACAGGGGGCCTGGAGTTCCACCCGTGGACATCTCTGTGCACAGCTGTTTTGTACAGAGTCCTAGATCTTAAGAGGAAATCCTGGTGTGATCAGCAGCCTGAAGCTCTCACTAGGGAGATGGGACTTCTTGTGTGAGACCACCGCACCTGCTGTGGTCTTAGGGTTGAGTTGCACAGCAGTGTTGTCCAGCTTGCACACTGTGAGACCAGACGAATGTGACAGTGCAAAGGGGATAGTGGCAATGTGGCTTCAGGCTGGCCCAGCACTGGCCATGGTGACCTTATAGGGAGAAACCAGTGGAAGGAGGAACCCACTCTCTCTTTGTCTGTCCCTCTTCCTCTCTCTCTGTAATTCTGGCTTTTAAATAAATAAATAAATGTGTGTATATTTTATATATACATGTAAGTTTATATATATATATATACACACACACATATATATATACAGCTTCTGTTTTAAAGCAGAAGCTGAGGGCAGCATTTTCAAGCAAGGCCAAGATCAAAAGCAGGGTGTTGGGCCTAGCATGGTAGCCTAGTGGGTAAAGTCCTCACCTTGTGTGCGCCAGGATCCCATGTGGGCACCAGTTCTAATCCTGGCTGCCCTGCTTCCCATCCAGTTCCCTACTTGTGGCCTGGGAAAGCAGTCAAGGATGGCCCAAAGCCTTGGGACTCTGCACCTGCATGGGAGAGCCAGAAGAGGCTCCTGGCTCCTGGCTTCAAACTGGCTCAGCTCCAGCCATTGTGGCCCCTTGAGGAGTGAATCAATGGACAGAAAATCTTTCTTTTTGTCTCTCCTCCTCTCTATATAACTGGCTTTCCAATAAAATAAAATAAAATAAAATAAAATAAAATAAAATAAATCTTTTTAAAAAAAAGGTATATTCAGGAAACAGTAAGTGGACCCACAGATGGCATTTCCAGTTGGTCTTAGCTTTTGGCAATGTCACAGATTTCTCCTAAGTCAGTTAACTGTTAAATGTTGCTCTCTAGTAGATAAAGAAAACATCAGGCTTGTGTTGTTATGGAGATACCACTTTCTTCTGCCAGCTCTGGGTTGTGCTTCAGAAATCCCAGGCAAGCCTCCAGCCCGGGCATTGTAGGAATCTCAGGAAAGGCATTCGCCAACAGCAGGCTCCAGTGACACTCCCACAGGCAGCAGTTCCACCGGCCAGAGGAGTGGATGTGCTCCGGGCACCCTGGGCTCTGTGGGGCTTCCCTGTGACTCTATCATGTTAATCCATAGCATTCTGGATTTTATTGCATAACAGGTCATTTTTTAAAAAAAGTTGACTTGCTTGTTTGAGAATATTCTCCCTTCTGTTGGTTCAGGCTCCAAATGCTCGCCCCCAGCAGGGCTGCACCAGGCTGAAGCCAGAAGCCGGGCACTTCATCCCGAGCGCATGGTGGCAGGCATCCCAGTGCTTGAACCACCACATGTGCCTCCAAGGGTGCGCATTAGCGGGAAGCTGGCATTACATGTTGATTCGGGTACTGTGATGTCGCGCTTAGGCATCCAAACTCTAGGCTAAGTGATCGCTCCCTCCCTTTTTATTTTGAAATCAAATCTATTAGCTGAAATAGCATTCTCCCCAACATTAAGATGTGACTTCCTGGGTGCCTACAGATTCTAGGCAGGAGAGCCCCCAGTGCCAGAGGAGGGTCTTACCTCACTCTCCCTGACTTGGCATGTCTTCTGTCTTTCCCACACTCCAATCCCACCTTGGGCCCTGTCAGCGTCTCTCACCATCAGCCAGGTCACTCTGCCGAGTTCCTGCTATTCTCATCCTAAAGTTCCCTCTTTCCCTGTTACTATTACCTTTGCATAACACATCCATTTCTGAATTTTTTTTCCACAGTGTTTTTTTTTTCTTCCCACAATTATATGGATCTCAGCCTTTCCTGGAATAAAGGAAGTTTTACAACCTTAGATTCTTTTGAAGCAAGTGAAATGGCATCGCTCATTATCAGTCAAGGATAGCGATTGTCAAATGTTTAAGAGTTTGCTCTCTTAAAAACTCTTGGGGCCCCTGAAGAAGCATTATGTGTGTTATACCTGCATGATATTCCCTGTAGTGGAAACACAAGACTGTACAAGCTCTCATTTTAGCAGTATAGTTTCATTCAGAGCAATGTTGTAATCATGTGAGAGAGTGAAAGGGGAAGGGGGAAATGATGGGTTGGTATGATTATGATAACCTTAGGCCTCCAAGTTCCCTGGCACTCACTTTGAGAGCCCCTGATGTGCTAGAATTGAAGTTGAGTAGGATGCTCTGAGATGCTGTGGCTTGTGGGTTGCACTGCTTGTCTGTGTTAGAAGCTCGGGCAGGCTCTGGTGGCTTAACCTCAGATCTCTTTAGGATGTGTTGCTTCTACTTTTCACGGTTGTAAGAAGCAATCTGCAAGAAGGTATTAATTGTAATACTAACTTCATAATCTTGTTGAGATATGTGTTAAAAATTCTGCTATAATGTGACTACTCAGGTGGGCTGGCACTGTCCCCAGCATAGGGGCAAGATACAAGGAAATGTTGGAGAAGCACTTCCAATGGGCTGTGCCGCTGGACTGGAGGCTGTGTTGGCGGGCTGACTGGCCATCTTGTTTCTCCTGATTTGTGCTTTTTGTTTGGACAAAGATAATCCAGGGGATCTAGGGAAATGCTGTCTGCAGCTTTGCTGGACCAAATGTGGATAAAATAAGTGCAGACAGGTCGCCACTGTTTCACTTAGTAAGATGCCCTTCGTGTTTTACTGTGGTTCAGCTGATGTTGAGCCCTATTCTGCTCTCCTATCCAAACAAGCCACAAAGAGGGCTGTGTTCTGGTGTGGAGGTAGAGACAGTGCTCGGAAAACACAACCTGGGCAGAGTCTAAACACTGGCCCTTTCAGGGACACAGCCTAGGTCAGCGTTATAATCAGCACCTTCTTGCAGATTGCCTCTCACAACCCTACCAAGTAGATACAATACATCCTAGAGGGATCTGCAGCCAAGTGGCCATCTTCCCATCTTGCAGGTGCAGTCATGAAACACACTCACGTGCCTGCCTCCTGCCTATCTTATAGGCAGGGTAGGGAGGGCTCCCCAAGGACCTTACACAAATGTAAGGACAAACACTACTGTATGGCATTGTTTCAGCAATCTGTTAGATAAAAAGTATAAGTTGCAAACACACAGAGAGGTAGAAAGACTACAAAAGGAACTGCACACTACTGCCTGTCACCAGCTGTGGAGGGCAAGTTTGTTCCACCTGTTGTGTGGATGGGGAAGTTAGGACCTGCTGAGATGGAAGAACTCCCTGGCATCGCCTGGCAGTCACGGGCAGGGCAGGGCTGTGAGCAAGGAGTGCAGGGCTCGCGTATGCTTTGCCTGCGTTGTCACGTTGAGTGCCCGTCCCTTAGGCTGGGCCTCCCCTGGCCGGCAGTGAACACTTGTCTTTCTCTCCACAGCTGGCGGTTTGCGTTTTACCTGTTGCTCAACATTGCTGGAGTTGTGTTCCTCTATGATGTGAGTTGTCTTTTTATCTCGTCGATAGAAATTTGTCTTGAATTTTTCAAATTTTGGCTCTTAAGCTACAAGACTTCCAGACAGTTCTAGAGGTTTCTGTCAGGATCTCTCCCAACTCCCACTGTATCTCGAGATACTTTCGTTGTTACGGATCTGGTTGGTGCAGGAATCATTTTGATAGCAGAGCCACTGGCTCACAGCCGCTGCCTCTGCTTACAGCAGTTTATTCTGCTCTAGTTCCCAAGTCATGAATCTTACAGGTGTTTGAGAAGGACATGTGTGAATACCTATAGAGGGAGACACAAGATCTTTCCTTGCATCTTGTCTTGCAAAAAGATCATCAAGAAGAGCCTGTTTTCTGCTGAAGTTAGCCTTGGACTGACCAGTGTACTTCTCTCTTGGCTTCTCTCCCCCCCCCAGAAACCTTGGGCATACGACCTGTGGGAGGTTTGGAATGGATACCCCAAGCAGGTAAGTCCCTCAGCACTATGGCTCGCTCAGCTCTCAGCCTGCCCCTGCCAGGGCTTAGTTCCCCCTGGACTCTGCCTGCTGCTCTGGCTCCCGTTTGCTTAGTCCTGAGGGAAGGAACTAGGGTGGCAGACCTGACCCAAATCCTGAAACCTGGGCACTGTCGCCAATACTCTGACCCAGGAGCCTCCTCCTCTCCTGGTATCTATAAAACTTGTGACAACCTGACTGGTTGGCTTGCAGGTAGGGTGAAGACCCCAGGCCTTGTAGTTCTGGGTGTTTTCTACTTTGATGTCCTCCAGTTCCCTAGAGCTTTCATCTTTTGTGACATTAATTTCTGTTATTGTATTTTTTAAATCTCCAGTTTTCATTTAATTTTTTGTGGCTTCCTTTTCTCTACCAAAATTTCCTAGTTTCTAATTGATTTTTGAAGCTGTTTTAAACTCAATGTCTGATGAGCTTAATATATGCATCACTAGTGGGGCTGTTTCTTTTTCATTCATATTTTAAAATACGAAAGATTTATTTACTTATTTGAAAGACAGGGTTACACAGAGGAAGGATGTGGAGCTGGGGAGGGAGAGAATCTTCCCTCTGCTATCACTCCATAAGTGGTCCCAACTGCCAGAGCTGGTTCAGTCTGAAGCCAGGATCCAGGAGCTTTTGGGTCTCACCCTTGGTGGAAGAGGCCAAGCACTAGGGGCATCCTTCAGTACTTTGCTAAGCTATTGACATGGAGCTGGATCAAAAGTGGAGCAGCTAGGACTCGAACCGCTGCCCATATAGAATGCTGGCACCACAGTGCTGGCCCCTTCTTTTTCATTCTTATGCTCTGAAAGCTTTTGGTTGAATAAGAGACACTGTATATGACAAGTCGTAGATGATCAGATTAACATCCTCTTTCTGAGAGTTCTGCTGGGTGTTAGAGAAGGGGCTAAACATCTGTAGTCCATGATTGGACTAATTCATTGTGGCCCATGTCTCAGGGAGGGTAGATGTGTTCTCAGCCAATCGTGTTCCAGCAGGTGTTCTTCAGTGGTTTGAATTAAAACACTTCAGTGTTTTCTGCGATTCTCTTTTCCTTGGTTGACTTGAATGCTGCCTTGTTTCTTTTTTTTTTCTTTTTTTAAGATTTATTTATTTTTATTGGAAAGTCAGATATATAGAGAGGAGGAGAGACAAAAAGAAAGATTTTCTGTCCACTGATTCACTCCTCAAGGGGCCACAATGGCTGGAGCTGAGCCAGTTTGAAGCCAGGAGCCTCTTCTGGCTCTCCCATGCGGGTGCAGAGTCCCAAGGCTTTGGGCCATCCTTGACTGCTTTTTCAGGCCACAAGCAGGGAACTGGATGGGAAGCAGGGCAGCCGGGATTAGAACTGGTGCCCATATGGGATCCTGGCGCACACAAGGTGAGGACTTTAGCTTCCACACCAGGCCCTGCCACCTTGTTTCTAAGCACTATGAAACTACAAAGGTCCTTAGTGTCTGGAATTGATGCTGCATATAAATTTGAACAATAGAGGATCCATGATATCCAGAGGCATGGTTTTCTTTGTACTCTCTTTGGGTCAGTGGTACTTCTTGAATAAAGAGAACACTCGAATTAAAGGATTTACTCTAATACATTTTCTCTCCTCTTTGGGATCCTTGGGTTCTGGATGCTCTTGTTGCTGTATGATATTTCAAAAAGATGCACTTTTTTTTCCCTCTTCCTTTTATCCAGATTTTTAAAAGTTGTTTCTAACTTGGGAACTAAGCTAAGACTGGTGATTGGACCAGGATAACCAATCATTTGAATATGTTAGCCTCGACATTAAAGAATCAAAGGTTACACAATAAGAGACCTAAGTGTTTGCTCAGCCAAACCCTGGCCCTACTGTCTTCCACCTCCAGCTTACTCGTGCCTTGTCAAGTGTGTTGGTCATCTATTGGTGCCTAATAAGCCATCCTCAGAGCTTCTTACCTACATTAGCAACCACTGACATGCTCCTGGTTTGAATCACCAATCTGAGTGGCCGTGGCTGAGCCAAGGCTCTGCTTCCCATGGCATCCTCTGACTTTGTTCACGCGTTTTCTGTCCACAGAGGGTTTGGTAGCCTTACCACTCAGCCCTCGATGCTCTTCTCTGCAGCAGGACAGCAGGGTAGCTCTGATGTCTAGATGGTGCTTGGTTTGAGGTCTCAGCTTCCAACATGCTCACTCCATCCAAGTCCCTGGTGGCTGTGCAAGGAGACTTCAAAAGGCCCTGGAGATGGGTCACAACAGTCTGTCATACCACGTGACACAGTGCCTCAGCTTAGCTGAAATCAGCTCCCGCCCCCAACTATAAAATCATTAGGGGAAATTCTAATTGTACAAAAAATTTTAAAGACATTTGTAGTGTCCTTAAGTCCTTGTGTGCACTTCATTGCTGTACCCTTTGAGACTGGGCCAGTTCTGACCACTGGCTTGTCCCCAAGAAAGAGGTTAAGGCATCAGATTTGAGTAGTATTCAAGGAATGTTAAACAAGGTGAAATGTGGGACCAACAAAACAGACTTCCTGTTATTCTGAAGATTTTAAAATTGTTTTTCCAATTTAATTCTCAGTGAGTATAATAAAGTATCTACAGCTGTGGCTATTTTATTAACTTCTTAGACAAAACATTTAACCTGACTTTGGAATAATTGTATTGTAGAAATAGATAATCATGGAATATTATCTCTAGTCCATTCCTGAAAGTAGAAATGTAAATCATTGTCATTTTATTGATTTTTGTGAACTATAAATGGGTGTAAATGGATCTTGATGCATTAAAACAATCTGTTGATATTTAACGTAAGGAATTCCTCTCCCCAGCCCCTGCTGCCGTCCCAGTACTGGTACTACACCTTGGAGCTGGGTTTCTACTTGTCTCTCTTGTTTAGCCTTGGTTCTGACGTCAAGAGGAAGGTAAGCATCTTATGTACAAAGCTGCTTTGTTAATTTTTGTGAAAATTCTCATCCTCCTGCCTAAGATTCCAATAGTTGATTGTATTTTTCTATGTATTTTTAGTTGCAGTCCATTGATTTTATTGTTGTTCTCAATGGGACCTTGAATATTCTTGTGAGGAAATCTTACTTCAGCCATTATTAGTTTTGCTTTATTTGCAGAGAAACTGAGTCACAAACATACCCAGTGTCCCCTTTCAGGTCATAGGGAGAGACCTTGGGGGAGCTGTTTGGTTCTCACCGATCCTCTTTGCTCATCCACAACCCCATGTTACACCCTGAATGTAGCCACATGACTTCTTTGTGTATGTCGATAATGTTGATCAAACCATGAACACTATGGTGCTACACCCCACATAGAAGGGTGGTTTGCAGCAACGTGTATATGATAAATAAAATCAAGTTTAATTTAATCTTGGGAAAAAGTAAGTTGGGTTGACTGAATTGGTTTGAGTTGAGCTCACTTACTCAGCTGGTCAGCTGAGCATTTTACATGGGAACACAAAGACCCTGTGTGTGACAGCATACTGGGAGAGGATCTGAGAGATGTGAGTCCCACACATTAATTGTCGCCACCTCAGTCTAACAATACAGCAAAACTGAGTTGCTTGAGTCTTTTTCTCAAAGACTGGTACTGAAAATACTCATTTTTAGGAAGTCTTCATAGACAGGGAGGTTGATCATGTACTTATACCACATCTATTTCACAGTAGTTGAAAATTCAGTATAAACAAATAAGTTTTATAGCTGTGTAACTTTGGATATATTAACGTGGTGTGAGGTGGAGCCCCATTGGCCGGGTGGGACTTGCTGCCTTCTCCACTCTGTGACATGTGCAGGGGCTGTCCAACAGCCAACACATGGATGCCTTGGGAGCAACTTAATCCACAAAAACACTGCCTGATATGCCAAGTGCTCAACACATTGAACTGTTGTTATTGGTATCGTATTTTCTGTTCTAATTTGTTTGCTAGGAAACAGAAATTTTTAATTCAATCATCTAAAATATGCAATTAAGTGGTTTTTAATACAATCATCACCACAATAATTTTTGTGATGTTTTCATCACCTCCGGAAGAATCCCTGTCCCCTCGAATGTCACCGTCACTTCTCCCAATCTCCCCAAACGCTGGCCTACCTCTAACCTGCTCTGTGTCTCTGTGGACTGGCTGTACGTGGGAATCAGACCACATGTGGTCTTTTGTGTCTCCCTGTTTCACTTACTGTGTCTTTTCAAAGTGCATGCATGTTGCAGCCCATGTCAGAGCTGAGTTCCTTTTTATTGCTGATTACTGGTCATTGTGTGGGCAGATTACATTGCACATAACCATTTATTGGTTCACAGAAATTTGAGTAGTTTCTTCCATTTGGCCTTTATGACACAGCTTCTTATTGAAACCTGTTTTTCATCTCTGGGAGTATGGGCCGTGTGGTAGCCCTGTGTTTTATGTTTCTACCAGCAGTGTGTAAGGCTTCCAGTTTCTCCACATTTTTGCCAGCACTTGTTATTCTTAGAGTTTTTTTAAAAGATTTTTTTTTTTATTGTGTAAGGCTTCCAGTTTCTCCACATTTTTGCCAGCACTTGTTATTCTTAGAGTTTTTTTTAAAGATTTTTTTTTTTATTGTGTGTAAGGCTTCCAGTTTCTCCACATTTTTGCCAGTACTTGTTATTCTTAGAGGTTTTTTTTAAAGATTTTTTTTTATTACTGGAAAGTCAGCTTTACAGAGGAGACAGAGAGAGAATGCTTTTCCATCTGCTGTTTCACTCCCCATGTGGCTGCAACAGCCGGAGTTGAGCTGATCTGAAGCCAGGAGCCAGGAGATTCTTCTGCGTCTCCCATTTGGGTGCAGGATCCCAGGCTTCAGGCTATCAGCTACTGCTTTCCCAGGTCACAAACAGGGAGCTGGAAGGCAAGTGGAGCAGTCAGGATATGAACCAGTCCTCAAATGGGATCCTGGTGTATGCAAGGCAAAGACTTTGGCCACCAGCCCACTGCACCGAGACCCAGATTTTTTTTTTTAAGAATCAAAGCATGAGATGTCTGTTGTTGGTATTATTGCTCTTCCAGTGACAGGGAAATGTCTCCATTTGCTTAATGCCTACCGTTTCTGCCTGGTTATTTAGGACTTCCTAGCACACGTCATCCACCACCTGGCCGCCATTAGTCTGATGAGCTTCTCGTGGTGTGCTAACTACGTGCGCAGTGGGACCCTTGTGATGTTCGTGCACGACGTGGCTGACGTTTGGCTGGAGGTACGCATGCTCCATTACAACTCTCAGAAGCACGTCTCCGCCAGCTCCCAGAGGGAGTGGTCGGAGAGCAACTTAGTCCTGAATGTGCACAAACCCAGAGAATGTCTCCAGGTTCCCAGATCCTTCAGGATTAATTAAAAAAAAAAAAAGGAAGCTGTCCATTTTAATTCTCAGAGCTCTTCGGTGTTTCTGAGAAGGAGGTTAGTCTGGGAGAGTCCACAGAGAAAGGTGCTTGCAGGTGCTAGCAGGGACATCAGCAAGTAGAGACGCCTAAAGAAGCAAGGTTCTAAACTTTAAAAGGAAAACCTGGGTTTATAGTGTTAGGGATTCTCAAGGTTGGACAGCACCGTCTGCTTGTTTTGATCAGTGCTTGAGTTAGCCTGTAAGTGTTCACCTGCCTTCAGGGGTCCTGTTCCAGCCCAGTTCCTTTCTTCCATTGTTAGTTCACATTGTGCACGAAGTTGTGATTCAATGGTCTTTGTCACTGAAGAATCTCCTGCTGGACTCAGAGCAGCATGCCCCAGAAGCATTCAAATGCACTCATTAATGAGTCCAGGGAAAGTGATGCTGACCCATTTCACATTCAGAATCGCTCCTTGAGGGACTAATAATAGAAAATAGGTTGATATGGAAGAGATTAAGTTTAATAGAATTTTGTTCTTCTGGATCTGAGATCAGTGAACTTTTTGGTAGAGAGCCAGATAGTAAATCTAGTTTGTGGGCTGTGTGTGATCCCTTCCGTGTTCCTTGTGTTTTCTTTTCTTTAAACCCCCTTAAAAATGTGCAACCCATTCTCAGGGACCAGCCAGCTTCAGCCTTGGGGGCAGACTGCAGCTTGCCAAACTGTGCTCAGGAAGTAACCAGAAGTGTTTGAGGCCCTTTCCAAGCATCTGGCCACTGTGGGAATGTTCTCTGTGGAAAGACCCGTGCTCTTACCCCGCATGTAATCATAATTAGCCCTGTAAATTCCGTTCTGGAGGTCGGGATTCTCCAGTGTGTCCTAGGGCAACCAGTGGCTGAGCAGGAGGCCTTGGTCTGCCGCTCTGTGAGCCACTGTGAGTGCTGCTGTCCCTGCTCTAATGACCTCCTTCTCTGATCATATCTCTGTAACCACATTGGCCCTGATGTCAGAACGGTGTTCTTGGCTGCTGTTTCTGAGACCTCTGGTTTGGCTGCCTTTGGTGTGTGTCCAGTGCTTGTCGGGTGAGGGAGCGAGGCTGCTCATGATCTGCTCTGCCGTAGCCACGCTGATTGCAGCAGTCCCAGCTTTGGACCCAGCTGTCTTCTCCACTGATGGAGATATTAAACAAATGACCCAATGAAATGCATTTGAAGGCTGTTGTATGCTAACTTAGAGTGCTTTTAAAAGCCAGGAGTATTATAATCACTTTGACATCTTTTTAGAACAACAGTGTGTTAACTGCAAACCTCCAACACGTGACAAGATGAGGGGGGCAGTAGGATGGAGCTGTCCAGCTTGGCGGTTGTCACTAAGGCCAGTCTTGGATGACCCAGTGGCCTGTTTACACTTCGCCCTTCTTCACAGACTGTTTTTGAAATGAATGCCTGGCAACCATCACTTTATTTATGCATAGTTAATGTTGAAAGTTCATGCCACTATCACTTTGCCTAATGCAGTTTCTTTCTTTTCAGTCAGCTAAGATGTTTTCCTACGCCGGTTGGAACCAAACGTGCAACACCTTATTCTTCATCTTTTCTGCCCTGTTTTTCATCAGCCGTTTCATTGTCTTCCCCTTCTGGTAAGTGGGCAGGCACTGTGCCTGCCTGGGTCAGTGTGCCTGGGTGTCAAGTGTGGTGTTACAGTCAGACCACTCTCTTGGCTTAGGTTGATCTCCGGTTGCTTACTCTGTATTCTGCTGAGGCAAAGGAATCTTCCCAAGCCTTTTTTAAAATAAAGATTTATTTTATTTTTATTGGAAAATCAGATATACAGGGAGGAAGAGAGACAAAAGGTCTTCCATCCATTGATTTACTCCTCAAGCAGCCACAACATCCAGAGTTGTGCTTATTCGAAACCAGGAGCTTCTTCTGGGTCTCCCATGCAGGTGCAGGGTCCCAAGGTCTTAGGCCATCCTTGACTGCTTTCCCAGGCCACAAGCAGGGAGCTGAATGGAAAGTGGGGCTACTGGGATTAGAACCAGTGCCCATATGGGATCCTGATATGTGCAAGGCAATAACTTTAGCTGCTAGGCTACTGTGCTGGGCCCTGAACCTTTTTATAGATACACAGAACAAAATGCTCTCGTATGAAAGAAGTTTTCTTTCAAGGGGAGATGGAGGGTTTTGTGGTCCAGGAGCTTTCCAGTATCTTGGTTGTTGAGTGTGCATCTTGCTTTGTGCAGCTTTTCCAGGTACCCTATGAAGAGTAATTGGCCAAGTCCCAGGTTTCTAAAAAGAGAGGCATGTTCTGTGTGTTCCTGTAATTACACCCACTAATGGAATGCCGAACTGTGGGTTGGGTCCTTGTTGTATCCTGGCTCCTGTCTACACAACAAACCAGAGAAGTGCCACTCCATAGACAGTTTGTTCTCAGTGACTGCACGTCTTAAGGACAGTCAGGGAGTCCTGTTGATATGCTTTGACTCAATCCATTGATTTTGCTTTGCTGTGGGCTAGAATGTCACCTCCTGTGACAATTACCTTCATCAGCCTGGGTGTGTCTTTCATGCCCCATGAGGCATTTTCTCGAGAGCAAAAACCTCGTGCCATGGCTCAGTTCATCAGGGCAAGAGTCAGGCCTGAATTCACATCCCAGCGCTGTTTCCACCCAGTGTGATCTTGGCTAGGTCAGAGCATCTCTTTTTGCCTCAGCTTCTCACCTGCAAATTAGAAATAAGGGTCATATGAGATCTCATGGAGGCAATGCAGGATACTTTAGAAATATGTCTGAGACACTGGAAGGGGTCAGGAAATGCCATCTCTCACTACTGAAGTTACTAACATGGTTAATGAATAGACCAGAAATTGGATTTCAATATAGAATCCAGTCTACAATACATGTCTAAGATGCATTCTTTTGCTGGTAGATCATGTTACTGTCTGTCCACTTTAGCTTGACATGCATGACTGTGAAGTTGTAATGTTGTATGGTAACAAGTATTGCATAAGTAGTGACACGTGGATAGTAATAGAGTGTAGCTTTCTAGTGTGACCTTCACAGGTGAGCCCACCACTGGCCTGGCAGTGCCCACCTCCTCACACACTACATGTCCCCAGGGTCTGTTGTGTGTCATGGACCATTGGAAGGCTCCATGACTTAGCATGGCAGTGGGTAGTCTCTTGCTGTAAAAGGCCCAAGAAGAAGCATCTTAAGTTTTGAGGATCACGTAAGCCTTCTTTTGCATTTTTTCTTGTATAATCCTTTGGAAATGTACCAAGAGATACTTGTTTCACAAGCTGTACAAGAAACATGTTGGAGAGAATCAACATTTCCCCCAGGCCATCTTAGCAGAGCTCTTTCTGAAAGCAACAGCATGTATTGGTTGTCACCACCTCTGGTGGTTCTGGAAGGCTTTCCCTTAGGATGCTGGAGTTGGGATTTTTGTTCAACTTTCCCCAGTCATGGAGTTGAGTAGTCCGAGGAAGGTGAGCTGCATGGAGATCTCTGCTGGCCCTCGGCTGCCCCACATTTGAGGTGGCCTCCTCTTGACATGGAGGCCATGTTTCAGGGTGGTGCTTCTCAGGAGAAATCCAGGCAGACAATGGATCTCCTGTGGTAACCCAGCTTTGGAGGTCCAACCTCAGATTCATGTGTAAGAAAAGGAGAGTTTGCTTCTGTTTCTTGATAGGAGCAGTTTCGCCAGAGTCTGCAGACATGCATTAAAGCCCACAGTACTTGGCTCTAACCACATCTTCCTGTGTCCTCTCAGTGCAGCTCGAGGTGGAGGTTTAGTTCCTTGTTGTCAGTCTGGCTCCAGGTTTCTGTACCAGACTCATAATTCTATGGATTCATTTTCCAAGGGTGTTTTATTCAGTCCAGAACTTCTTGGGGATTCACTGTTGAACAAACCACAGACAGACAGTAAGTACAATTGGAAGGTGACTCAGCTGACCTATTTCAGGATTTAGGTGTTCTGTCAATGCTGTGGGGTGGATTACAGGCTAGCCTCTCTGTTCTTTGTTTCAGTGGCTTTGGTTGTGCATTTCATAATGAGATGTAGGGTAGGGAGAAAGCTAACTGGGATTTGTCTGGAAGCTTTGGGGATTGGAGTCTGTATGTCACACTTGTCCCTTCCTTTCTATTGTTTTCATTTCATTTGCTTTCCCTTATGAACCTTTTTTCATTTTTATCTTTATTGCTTTAAATTTATTTGAGATGGAGGGAGAGAGGGATAAAGGAAGTAAAAGAGAGCATGAGAGAGAACTCCTGGCCACTGGTTTACTGCTCCAGTGCCTGAGTGGAGTTAGAGCCAGGAGTCAATTCTTCCATGCGTGTGGCAGGAACCCAGTGACCAGAGCCATCGCTGCTGCTTCCCAGTCAGCATTGGCTGGAAGCTGCTGTCAGGAGCTGGCGCTGGGGATTGAATCAGGTACTGCAATGTAGGACAAGAGTTTGTCAGCCACTGAGCTGAACACCAGCTCCAATGTGTCCCTGCCACATCTCTGCACCTGTGCCTTCTCGCTCTTTTCCTCCTGTTTCTGATAGTCTTATTGTCAGCAGAGTTAAATACACTGTTGTTCTAAACACTGTCTCACGAGCATTGAGCAAAAATGCATGCTGGGGTTGACCCAGAGTGCTTTTATTTAATTGGTGCTTAAACATCACTTGTTCGCATTTTCATTCAGCACCATTTATCTTGCAGCCTTGTGCTTTCCACACTTACTCTCAGCTATCGTTTTCAAACAATGTCTTCTGTATTTTTGCGTCACTGGATGTATAACTCCACTGAACATTATTCAGAAATCACCAATGGATCATTAGGCCAGAAAGACCCAAGGACCAGTCAGCTGTTCTGGTGGCACAGTTTTCTCACAAGTAGCAAGAGAAGGAACTGACTTTGTTCAGGCTGGTCAGCCTGAGGGGAAGGGAAGGGCACTGGTTTGTGGCTCAGCCCACAATTGGGTGTCTGTTGCAACTGCAGTCTGCATGTGGCCACCCCACTGCTTGCTTCGATATTGGTTCATCACAGCTGAGGATGCTGAAGACAAGAGGAGTGGTAGCGGCAGTATAAGAGATTTTTGAATTTACCTATGATTCATATATTTGTAGAGTATAAATATTGACTTGAGTTTCTTGAATGTTGCAAAGGGAGAAAAATAAACTGCTTCCATCCGTGTGACTAATAGATTAGAACCAGCTTCCCCACCTCCCTGGAACCTGTGTTTGTGGTCAGCATATTCTCCATGGCTGGTTCACAGACTTCAGGTCTCTGCTTGGAGATCTCAGTGTCGCTAGGGGAGAACAATGGGATCCTTCGTGGCCCTTGTCTGAATGAGAACTTTGTGGCAGTGAGACCATGTAATTACTTAGAATGGCTAGCAGAAAGGAGAGTGAACTCTACTGAAAGACCACTGAAGGCATCACATGTGCTCTTGCCTGAGACTTACTGGTGGAGAAGGGATATGCACACAGTGGGAGTTTTCATCTACAGAGGGCCAGGCCTTGTCTGAGGATGATTAGAGGGCAGAGCACAGGTCTGATGGGACGATGGCAGGCTCAAAGCCCAGGCGCTGCCAGCACAGAGACAGGGGCTTGTGCAATGTGAGAGGGCCCCTGCTGAAGATGGGGCCACTCCCTTGAAGTGCCAGATGTGTATCTTGGAACTAGACTTTCCAGTTGTACACCTGATGAGGTGGAGAGAAATTGGCAGGGTGTGCTCATGGCCGTGTTCTGTGCGAGCCCTTGGGGGAGTACCCACACTTGGAAAGGGACACAACCAACTACAGTACACACCCTCCTTCAGACCATGCAGGTTTAGGGTGAGAGACCTGGTGTGTGATTCAGTCCAGTTCTTTTATTATTTGAGAAATAATGTCAAGCTTACAGGAAAATTCCAGACATGTGTAAGGGAACCTTGGCCTGTGCCCTTTGCTGTTGTCATTTTGCCATGATCACTTTTTCATCTCTCTCTCTCTCTCTCTCTGTGTGTGTGTGTGTGATGAGTCCAAGTACTTTGTAGTGGGGAAGGGCTGGGAGCAAAAAGCCTCCTGTGGTCAGGGTAGTAAGAGGGCTTTCTGAGTACCTGCTGGGCCAAGCTTTGAGCATTGGTCAGCTACATTAGCTCTGAGGCATATGGGGGTTTCCTTATCTGCTGGAAAAAACTGAGTCTTGGAGAGGGGAGAGACTTGCTGAAATTCCTGGGGAGGGCCGGAGCCATGCCTCACGGGGTGAGAGCGCATGTCGGAGGCCTCGTCTGTCTGTCCAGAGGTTTGAAGATCTGAGAGACGCGTGCATCCAGGGCTGCTCCTTCCACCTTGAGGGCTCCATTTGATGGATGCCTACCCCCAGTCTGACGGCTATAATTAGTCCCACAAAGGCACTAAGGTGCAGTGACTTAGGCAGCTTCCAAGGCAAGAAGCTGGTGGTGGCAGGCTGAATACCCAGCTCTGATGACTCCATCCCAGTATATGGCCTCACTTTCTAAGGCAGGCAGAGAGCTTCCTGTTGCTCTTACAATGAAGGCTGTGTCCGGACCTTCACATGCAAAGCCTACTGGAGATACCTTTCCCCTCTCACACCTGCTCTTACATCAACCTTCCCTGCCACACTGGTCTCTTCGCTTCTAGAATTTTCCAGAGGGCTTCTAAGGTTGGAGAACAAAATCCCCTCCTGCTGGAGGCCTCTCCCCTTTGCCCTCCCTCCAACTTGCAGGAGCCAGACAGTTACAGTTCAGTCTCCTACAGGGAGTCCTGCCCTTTCCTGGTCTTCTCTGACTATGAACATTCTCTGGTAGACTGTGCTAAGAGGATATTTTTGAGTATGTGAGTATGTGTCTGTCTTTTGCATCTGTATTTTGACATTGGCAAATCTGCAGCAAAGGACCTAATGAGGGGCAAGGCCTGGGGCTGGGTCAGGCAACATGGAGATAACTGTGGGTCATGGACACTGCCCTCAGGAGCATAACTACCAGTGAGGAGCCAGGTCACACAAGTAACTGTTGTTGCAAGGTAGGATGAGGTCACACCAGTCACCATCAAGACATTGGCAGCCAGAAGTATTGAGGAAATTTGCAAATTTGGGGGTGACCAGAAAAGCATGGAGACTTTTGCCGTGGGGCCCTTGACTGGATGGAGGACAGCAGTTTCTATTGAAAAGGGGAAGAATGTTGTAGCATTGCCATTCCAGCAAGCTAGAATGGCGAACAGGCCTCCCCTGTGACTGTGGGTGCCCGAGGGATGTTTTACTAGTGGGCAAGTTTTGATCTCTTTTTCATTGCTGTATTCTGACTGCTTTCCCAGTGTCATGGAGCACTTGGGTAGATGTTCAATAAGTGTTTATGGAGTAAGGTCTTCTTCCATTTTACAAGTGATAAAATACACAGAGAATGCCACAAACTGAGAATAGTAGAACCAGGATTTTAAGGAGATCCAGAAAAACATGTCTGCATGTTGATGGGGATGAAAGGACGTTAGTGTCTTAATTTGATGTATCAGAGAGGCAGAAAAACAGAGCTCGCAGCCATTGTTACACTCCTCAAATGCCTACAACAGCAAATGTTGAACCAGGCGGATCCTGGGATCCAGAGCTCATCCTTTCTGCCACGTGCGGGGCAGGGACCCGTCTACTTAGAGCCATCACGTGCTCCCTCCCAAGGTGTATGTTAGCAGGAAGGTGTAGCTGAGAGCACAGCTGGGACTTGAATGTACACACTGTGTTGTGGGATGAGCAGGCATCACAAAGAGGGGCCTAGCCACGAGACCAAATGCCCACCAAAAGAGAAGTTTATAGAGGAAACAGTTGGCAGATTTGATTACAGGTTAAAAGGAAGTATCAGCTTGTGCAATGATGTTTAATGATTTTGAAATATACACGGTTACTTATGAACTCACAAACCAATAGAAAAATTAAATGACTCAGTAGAAAAATGGACACATATCATGAGAAAACAGTTCCCCAAAATAAAAATAAACCAATTACATGTAATATATACATATAATTCTATATTTATATAATCACTGCTTAGGAAATAAAAACTTAGACACAACAGAGTTATTTTTAGATAGAGATAGACACAATTCTGCCTTGGGTGAGATCTGAGGGAGTCAGTATATTTTTATCTATTGGGTGCAAGAATATAGGCTGATACTATGTCACTAGAAATTATTCTACCATTATATTCTAAAATGCAGAATGAACTTAATTTTTGACTCAGAATTTTAGCTACTCCTGGGGGATAGTCAAGCAATCCTATCAGCATGTCCTTATAAATATTATAATGTTCTTTATAATGAAAACTTTAAAGCAACTGAAATGTGTATTGGTAAGAGGTTAGGACAACCATGACATATCTTTGAACAGACTTCTGTGCAATGATTCTGTAGGATAACAGGTAACAGGGTCGGCAAACTCCAGTGTTCTGCCTGCTCTTGTTCAATGAAGTATTGTTGGAACACTGCCACACACCTTAATGGGTGTGCTGTCTGGGCATCAGTTAATTTTGGTGGTGGTTGCTACCTGCCACTTGCTGGCTCCATACTAGGTGACAGAGGAGGTTGCAACCTGTGACCTGTCCTTCCACACATGAGGGTCAAGATGACATGGACCATGTGACTCCTGTTAGATGACAGTATGTGGGGATGAAAAATTTCTAAAAGAAATCTTTGAAGCCGTTACATTTTGGATGGAAGAGTTTTGCTTAAATAAAATGGAGAAGTGGCTGATGTGTTTTTTCTTTAGAGTTCATATCGTTGTTGAACAAAAACTGGGACTGGAAATGAACTGCTAAGCTGGTGTGGGGAGAGTTTTAGGTCACTGTAAATACTGCAAATTAAGATGGTTTTGTCTTTAAATGAGTGGGTTTTAAACCCACCTAATATTGGCTGGGAATTCACTGAAACTCTCCATTCCTCAGTTACTGGTGGCCTTATCAGTCATTATAGCTTTGGCAAATAAGCGATAATTGTTTAAAACTTTTTAATGTACACCTGGAGTTTAGGATCCTTTAATTTACCCTTTTATATAATCATCTCACATTTAGGAGCACCCACTTCCAAAGTGATTGGGAAAGGGCTGCTCATATCCAGTGGTTTTAGCAACATCTAATGTTTTGGGGTAAAGCTGAGTAGAATATAACTTTCAAGCAAAAATAAGATAAATCTTTTAAAAAATGTCTTAAATGAAATAACTGTTGTATGCCTTGGGAGAGAAAGTAGTTGTCTCCGTGTTGGCGACTCCCACGTGTCTCGGCTCTGATGCGACCCTGCTCTTTGTGTCCTAGGATCCTGTACTGCACGCTGGTTATCCCCCTGCACTACCTCAAGCCTTTCTTCTCATACATCTTCCTCAACCTGCAGCTCATAGTGCTACAGGCCCTTCACCTTTACTGGGGCTACTACATCCTGAAGATGCTCAAGAGATGCATATTCATGAAGGTAAGACCAATCTCCACCTGTCCGGTTCAACTCCGGACTCCAAGTGAGGCGCAGGCAGGGCCGTGTTCACAGCCATCACTGCTTAAACCAAGAAACAGCTTCTTCCCTGGATAATGGTCAGGTGGAAACAGTGTCAGATGCTCTTTCATTTGTTTGTTTGAGATCAGTTTTTGATGTGACTTCCAAATCAGCTCACAGGGAGAACAACAAAAGGTCAGTAACCTCAGGGAAGCAGCCCCCATGTGGTCAGTCACCAGGGACACTCCCTGGCTGGCAGTCGGTGGGCAGGGCTCCAGAGACCTGGGACAGAAGTCCTGAAGGAGGAAATGACTGGGTGGTAGGGGGTGGTAGATGGAAAGTTTGTTGAGCCACAGTTTGAGTTGAACCTTAGCCAGGTTTAAAGATCATCACACCCCGTCTTTATCTTGAACCCGTGCCCTGGGGTGGTTTCAGCTGAGCCTCTTAGAAGTTGGAGATCACTGCTGGCCCACTGCCAAGGGCTGCTGCTGTGTGCAACGTGGGTTCCATCACCTGGGCACGATGATGTGGCTGGGGCAGATGTTCTGCTGGTTAGTCTGACAAGCTCATTTATTCATCAACTTGGATTAAACCCTTTTCCTACTTTAGTAAGTGTGCCCCAGAGGTCACTGAAGAGTTCACAGAGTAAATGAAACTTTCATGTTGACCTCTGGGGTTTCGCCTTCTTTTAGCTCCTGGATCTAGAGGGATCTGGAAATTGGTTTACTTCTAGATTATTCTGGAATAAAAGGATCAAGTTCTGAACTTTGTCTTTTCACCCAAAGTACTGATGTGAGCTTGTTTCTTGAGCATTGGTGCTTTGCCTTAAAGTTGGGACTATGTAAAAAAAATTCTCTTATTACCTCTAGATCTTGTGCATAAAAATTTGAAATAGTGTTTTCTGTAATCTCTGAAAAAGTTATTTTGTGGCCAAGCAACTGATCAGAGTTTAAACAATTGAGAGAAGGAATTTAAGCAGTTGGACAAGTCACACATCTTTGGCTGGCAGGAGGGCAGGGTGCTGGGCTGAGCCTGTCCCCGCCTCCTGGAGCTCCTGTCCCCATGGGACGACCATTCCTGGTTAAACTCATGAGTGACAATAATGACGGGCCCAGGCGTGATCCCAGGGGAGGGTAGCTTGGACAACAGTGGACAGCTGTGCTGCCTGCCCTGCAGATTTTCTTACTTCTGGTCTGTAGCAAGTCCTGGCGGGCCTGCCTCAGAGCCTGGCGACCTGGAGCACGGTGGGCAGGCAGCCCCAGCCTCACAGAAAAGGCATGAGCAGCCATAGTTATAATGACTCCAGCCGGCTTGCCTGGGCAGTGTTTTTTTCAGAGTGGTGACAAAACTGGCTGTGAAATCTATTCATTCCTCCAAAGCCACCAAACTTCCTTTGAAAGAATGGTAGTGGGAGGAGAGGAGAGGAACAGAAGCGAGAAATTCTTAGAGGAATAAGGAACAAAACCGTATTAACTCTGTTGAAAAAACAGTTGACCCTTAATGACACCTCAGTTGTTACCAAGGTGACTGATTCTTAGGATAACTTATAAAAATGAAATTGAAAAAGCACAAAGTCCTCCAGAAATTGTTTGGAATCTTAAGCGACTGAGAATTTGTAACTTAAATTCCTCCATGTGGCAGGACCTCAATAAGTAATTGTGAATATGAGAATGAATAAGTAATTTGGATAAACATACAAATCAGGGTAAAAAATTATAAAATAATTGATTAATCATCTTTGTCTCCATGAATTTGCATGGTAGATTGAAAAGAAAAAGATTTTTTTTTTAAAAAAATGGCATTTTTCATAAGAAGCATGTCTTACTTTCCCTGGGGGGGGGCGGACAACAAAAACAACTAGGGTCATTGTGCACATATGATGACTGAAGACTCCCTGCCACTGCTTTTATTCTCAAAGATCTTAAAGTAAAACGTCACCATGCTTTCCGAGGATAACAAATACCACCCAGCTGGCATTGTGCTGCCCACCACAAGCCTTGTCTGAAGGTCTCAGATGCCTTGGTGATGACCTGAGAACCCGCACAGCACAGCAGGAAACGTGGCAAGAAGACCTGCTCACCTTGCTGTTCTCTTTGTCTTACAAGGACAGGAGAGGGAACACGGGATGCCTTGCCTTATGAGACTTGAGAGCTTGGTTGTACTTCAGTTTGTTCTTTTTTATAAATACCACACGGGGTCCTGGCAAACCCAGGCATGTGGTTGTCATGTCTCCCACTGGAGGATGGCAGAGATGTGTCAGGGGAGCTGCCACCTGGAGTGGCCCAGCTCCCTGTTGCTCAGCGGGCAGCATCCTGCAGCTCCCTATAAGGACACTTCACACACGTCATGTCTCAGTGAAAGCACAGAACAGACCAGGAAACTGAGGCCTCGCCAGATTTGTACAGGAAGTTCACTGGAAAGCCAAGAAAAAACATGCAAGCATCTAGCTTGCTCTGCTTTGCTTTTCACGATTCTTTATTTGAATTAAAGGCTAGATAGGAGGAGAGACAGAAAGAGAGGTCTTCTATCAGCTGTTTCATTTCCCTGCCAACTGCAATGACTGGAGCTGAGCTGGTCCAGAGACTGGAGCTTCTTCTGGGTCCCCCATGTGGGTACAGGATTCCAAGGTTTTGAGCCATCCTCCACTGCTTCCAGAGTTCATAAAAGGGAGACTAGATTGGAAGTGGAGTCATGGGACTTGAACAGGCAACCATATGATATGCCTAAACTGCAAGCAAAGAATTAGTCTGTTGAGCCGGTGTTCCAGCCCCAGTTTATACATCCTTTTTTTTTAATTTCAATTATTATTATTATCATTTTATGATACAGTTCCATAGGCCCTGGGATTTACCTTATATCCTCCCCAATTCCCTCTCCGCTTACTGAGTTCCCCTATATCATTACTAAAGTATAGTTATTCATACACAGTCATAGGTCCATCACTGAGGGCATGGACAATGGCAGAGAGTCCAACATCCTGTTGTCAAGATACAGTAAACAATTTCATTGGGAGTCCATTTTTAGTCTGGAAGCAGAGATGCATACTGCATTGTAGCCTCACATCTGGATATGATAGTCTCCAATACACAGCTACTGCATATCCCCTTAATTGAAAAGCCACAATACAAAATCAACAACAGGAAGAAAATAGAAATTTACAACACTATGAAGTTAAATAACATGTTACTAGATATGATAGTCTCCATTACATAGTTACTATGCATCCCCCTTAAATGAAAAGTCACAAAACAAAATGAACAACAGGAAGAAAAAAGAAATTAACAACACCATGAAGTTAAATAACATGCTACTGAATGACTAATGTGTCCCTGAAGAAATAAAGAAGAAAATCAAGAATTTTCTTGAAGAAAATGATGCTACTATATGAATCACTGAATAATTTAATCAGAAGAAAGTATTTTGAAGAGATGAAACTAACAAGAAAAATTAAAATTCATGAGATATAGTTTCCTCTGATCTTTGTTGGTGAAATGTGTCTCCTGTAGGCAACAAACAGATGGATTTTGTTTTTTAATCCAATCTACTAATCTATGATGTTTGATTTATGAGTTTAAGCCATTTACATTCAGGGTTAATATAAATAGATTGTAATTTTGTTCTGTTGTTTTAGCAACGGGCTGTTCATTGATTTAGTCTTCTGTTGTCATTTTATTGGAATGTTCCTCACATTTATCTTTGGTTTTGGTGGGTGCTATTCCTTTTCTCTGTCAAGTGAACATCTTGAAGTATCATTTGTAGGGCAGGTTTGAAATGGGCATATTCTTTTAACTTTTCTTCACTGTGGAAGAATTGTATTTCATTTTCAAAGACAAAAGAAAGCTTTGCTGGGTATGTTATCCTGGGCTGACAATTTTTTTCTTTTAGAATCTGCAATGTGTCACTCCATTCTCTTCTGACCTATACAGTTTCCTGTGAGAGATCTCCTGTGAGTTTAATTGGCATTCCTTTATATGTCAATTGATTTTTTTCACGTGCACATTTAAGGATATTTTCCTTATGTTCGATTAAAGAGAGTTTGACTATCACGTGTCCAGGTGAAGATCGCTTTTGGTCAAGCCTGTTGGGAGTTCCGTGCCCCTCCTGGATGTTGTTTCTCAATTCTTTCTCTAGATTAGGGAAATTTTCCCTCATTATTTCATTGAATACACCTTTAAGCCCAGTTTCTCTTTCTGCACCTTCTGAGACTCTTCTATTAGATCTTTTAATAGTGTCTTTCAATTCTTTTTTTTTTTTTAAGATTTATTTTATTTTTATTGGAAAGGCGGATATACAGAGAGGAGAGACAGAGAAGAAGATCTTCCATCCGATGATTCACTCCCCAAGTGAGCGCAACAGTCCATACTATGCCCGAAGCCACAGGAGCCTCTTCGGGTCTCCCACGCGGGTGCAGGGTCCCAAAGCTTTGGGCCGTCCTCGACTGCTTTCCCGGGCCACAGGCAGGGAGCTGAATGAGAAGCAGGGCTGCCAGATTAGGACCAGCGCCCATAAGGGAACCCGGGGCATGCAAGGCAAGGACCTTAACCACTGTGCCATCGTGCCAACCCATCTTTGAATTCTTGAATATTTTTTTTTTAGCTTGACCCAGCTCTGCTTCCAGCTTTTTATTTGTTTCCCCTTGGTGACAGGAAATACCTTCTAATTTTGAGATTCTTTCTTCTGCCTCCTTCACTTCATTTTGGAGACTCTCCACTGTACTTTTAATTTGCTCCATTGTGTTCTTCATTTCTGATATATCAGCTTTCATTTGATTCGTTTCCTGTGTTACATATTCCTTAAATTCTTTGAATGCCTGCTTTACGTGCTTCTTATTGTTGATAAGAAGTTTTATAACAAGTGTTTTGAATTCTGTATCCCCCATTTTCTCAATGTCTTTCTCAGTTAACTCTGAGGTTGGCAAAGGGTTTTGTTCCTTTGCAGGGGAGTCTTCAGTAATATTCATTGTGCATTTGTCTCTTCTTTTG